CACACATCTCAGGAGGGATTTTGTCCCACTTCTCTTTGCAGATCTTCTCCAAGTCATTAAGATTTCGAGGTTGACGTTTGGCAACTCGAAACCTTCAGCTCCCTCCACAGATTTTCTATGGGATTAAGGTCTGGAGACTGGCTAGGCCACTCCAGGACCTTAATGTGCTTCTTCTTGAGCCACTCCTTTGTTGCCTTGGCCGTGTGTTTTGGGTCATTTTCATGCTGGAATACCCATCCATGACCCATTTTCAATACCCTGGCTGAGGGAAGGAGGTTCTCACCCAAGATTTGACAGTACATGGCCCCGTCCATCGTCCCTTTGATGCGGTGAAGTTGTCCTGTCCCCTTTGCAGAAAAACACCCCCAAAGCATAATGTTTCCACCTCCATGTTTGACGGTGAGGATGGTTTTCTTGGGGTCATAGGCAGTATTCCTCCTCCTCCAAACACGGCGAGTTGAGTTGATGCCAAAGAGCTCCAGTCCTTCACAGCGTAGTGTGTTACCAATTGTTTTCTTGGTGACTATGCTCCTAATCTCAGCTCGTTACCTGTATAAAAGACACCTGGGAGCCAGAAATCTTTCTGATTGAGAGGGGGTCAAATACTTATTTCCCTCATTAAAATGCAAATCAATTTATAACATTTTTGACATGAGTTTTTCGGGATTTTGTTGTTGTTATTATGTCTCTCACTGTTCAAATAAACCTACCATTAAAATTATAGACTGATCATTTCTTTGTCAGTGGGCAAACGTTCAAAATCAGCAGGGGATCAAATAAAACATTTTCCCTCACTGTATGTGTGGTTCGTTTACAGAAAGTGGGATTTCTCAATAGGCTATGTCATATAAGTTTAGGTTATTATTGGTCAAACAATGTATTGACTAAATTAGCTCTGGACACAGTATGCATATACAGTATGTGACAGTCAAGGGTATGTTACAAATAATGTATCTGCCTCGGAATAGCTTAAATCTTTGAATAATGATTGTTTACCTTACACAAGCCTTATTTGCAGTTATCTTTCCTGTTGTGTATTTGCTACAGTTTGATAATTCATGCCTTACTTGTTACTCACACCATCATGCCTAACTAATCCAGACTGATATGGTTCACAGCACCTGGTAAAAGGGAAAAGGAACATCTGCCAAGAACATTGAATTAGCCAGTTTGACCAGGAATTATTATGTACGTTCATATGCACACACACACGCACACATGAACACATGCAGACATGTGCAAACATACACACACACACCAGTGTTTGGCTCAATTCAAATTGAAGGCAGTAAATTCAGAAAGTTATTTGAATTTAAAATCCCAACATGTAAAAACTTTTAACATAAATAGCTTCGACTTTTCAGTTAATTGAGAAGTCATTCAATAATTGAATTGGAATTTCAGCTTACTTCCGGAATTCACTGCTTTCAATTCTAATTGAACCCAACCCTGAAGTGTCTGTCCTGTATCTGAGAGTTATAAGAAAGCTCAGGAAAATATTTGTATTTATTTTGACCCATATTTAATCTCTACGGGATTGGTGTCCTGTATACGGGATGGTTGAGCTAACGTTCGCTAATGTGATTAGCATGACTGTTGTAAGTACAGCAAACTTTCCAGGACACAGACATGTCTTATATGGGCAGAAAGCTTACATTCTTGTTAAACTAACTGCACTGTCCAATTTACAGTAGCTATTACAGTAAAGACATACCATGCTATTGTTTGAGGAGAGTGCACATCAACAAAAAACTTATCACGGAAACTGGTTTGATACATTCACCTATAAAGGTAAATAATGTACTTACATTCAGTAATCTTGCTCTGATTTGTCATCCTAAGGGTTCCAGAGATAAAATGTAGCATATTTTTGTTTGATAAAATCCATTTTCATATTCAAATGTAGGAACTGGGTTCCACAGTTGGAACCCCTGCTGTCTCTTGCTCCACACCAACCCCGCCCGGCCATCTAGATGTGTGAAAGTTAGTGTATAAGCTAATGATCCATCATGTATGACATTCCTGGGAGTGTGTAAACTTACATTTTGTATTACCATATCATTTTTGTATATCATCATGTATAGTTATGTACTTGAAAATGTATCAATTGACCAATTCTGCACATTTGGGCAGGCTTGATACAAAATAGTCCAGTATTGCAATGCTTCACTGAATCAATCTGAAACTTTGCACACACACTGCTGCCATCTACTGGCCAAAATCTATATTGCGCATAAACTGCAATATTATATTGTGGCCTTTCTCTTGCAGTTCAAAGATGATGGAAGAACAACAAAACATTGAAAATGCATGTTTTTTTGTTTGTATTATCTGTTACCAGATCTAATGTGTTATATTCTCCTACATTACTTACACATTTCCACAAACTTCAAAGTGTTTCATTTCAAATGGTATCAAGAATATGCATATCCTTGCTTCAGGTCCTGAGCTAATGGCAGTTAGATTTGGTTATGTCATTTTAGGCGAAAATTGAAAAAAAAGGGTCCGATCCTTAAGATGTTAAAAGCTTTTTTTGGCACCAAAGTACAGATGTAGGATCTTAATTTGAGCCAGTTTGCTACAGCAGGAAAATAATCCTGCAGCAACAGGAAATGTCAATTATTATGTGGATTACAAATTGGAAATTACAGTACAAACTTCAGAAGCCATTTTAAAGATCAAATACACTACACATATTTACGGCATTGCAGGAAATTATCCTGCAACAGGGTGATCAAATTAAGATCTGACATCTGTACTTCCATACTTCCATAAAAAAAATTAACTGGTACCGGGTAACCTTCAGACGAGTCTTGTCGGTTTTGCTCTACGACGCCCACGTGTTCGTGAGAGCCCAAACCATTTGGAAGCTACAGACGTTTTAGTGAGAAGACAGATTTTCAGGATGTCTTCTGGTCTGACAAACACCTCTGTAGCTCTGCCACCTTCCATCTCAGATGCGGAAGGCCGACATCTGAGGATGTGGTGGATTGAGACGCAGCCATGCAAAAAAACGGATATCTCTAGCTTAAACAGATTTTTATTGGGATGTTTTTATTATGCTAATTATATTTACGCGAAGGTGCGGACATTGACTCTAGGGGGATAATTTAAACCCGAGCGGAAACATTGTTGTCTGGGCCTCTGTCCAACTCCTCCATTAGGCTTTTGGCCCAGGTCAACAGTAATTAAACAAGTCTAAAGCCCATGTCTGAAGTGCACTCCACAGCCTGGCCACCTCCACATTCGCTTCTATTATTGTTTTATTATATTATTTATATTTCCCTCTCTAGCCTTGGTTATACCTTGCATTAACAAGTGGTTGTCATCATCCGATCAAGATGATCCGATCATTATCTGATCAAGATTTGTTGCGTCTACACATGGTAATGAAATGTGTCTCTTATCTGCCCACTGCAACCACATTGTGACCAGATTCCCTGGTTCCTCCATGTATGCAAATTAATCCAACTTGCCTTGAACCTCCCCTCATGAAACAAGCTGTATAAATCGACAGAAAACAGCACACTTTTATAGTCAATAGTTCAGTAACACAGTCTGTTTCACTCATTGAGGGTTGATAGACTGATATACTAGCATTACAGAAATTAAACTGAATTACAAATGTATTGGGGATGCATGGGACGGACTATGATGGAGTCACAGCAGAAGAGCGCAGTGCATGACAAGTGTATGGAAAGGTATAATGTGTAGGCCTAATTTTACACCTGTACCTTTTAAAACGTTGCCCATAGACAAACCACTGTATTATAATACCACAGTAGCCTATTATTTTCAGATCTGATATAGCAACCGAATTAGACAATTATTCACATTACAAACATGTTTATAAAGCGCTCAGCAACTCAATATCTCCATCCTCCACAGCGCTGTCCAGAATGAATGGGTGGTGGGATGGTCACCCAATATCGTGTCCAGCTCTGAATAAAATGGGCATTGGGTTCTCCCGTTCCCACTGCTGCTATTACAGTCCTTCGCCTTTCTGAATGATGTTTTCAAATATTTGATTTTGTGCTGGCATTGGATGTGGGAATGGGAGAACCCTTTTTCTCTCATTCGGAATGATATCTCTTCATAAATATCTTTATTTCTATATGCGTTATCTACCCAGTTAGCACATTTGGTTCCTTGGAAGTTGTGGGAATGTATGTTTTTGTTTTCACTTGGATGTGGGAACAAAGTCATATGTTTATTTACTGATGAAACTGAACATTTTTTTTATTTGTTCTGAGAACAGAAGTGAACATTTCGGCTGTTTTGGAAACGTTTATTTTTAGGTTGCAGGGAGGTTCTGAGAACGTTTTACTCTAGTTCCTTGAAAGTTTTAATGGGAGATTTTAGTAACACTCTGAGAACAGAAATTATAGATTATCTGGAGGGTTTTGAAAAATGTCACTGAATGTTTCAAAAATACTTTTAATTACGCTGCAAGTTTATTTTGGATGAACTGTTTTGAACTCCAAGCACAGATAGGAAACATGGAAAATAATTTCATTATACATTAATCATGAAAAAACGTTTTTTTTATTTTTTATTGTGACAAAGCATCAGTGAGATTCAAACCTGTGATCTTCTGTTCCCTATCTATGGAATAAGTACTCTGCTCAACCACCATGTTTTTTTTAACGCATACAAAGCTGCTAGCTATAGTCTATTCAAACTCATTAAGAACAGGTTAATCCACTCATTAAGAACAGGTGTGGCTAATTAGTGGTGTGGCCAACTCACCTGAGCACACATAACAAGATAGAAGAGAGACATCCCACTCGTGGGCCACTTCCTCATTTCTTTCTTTCAAAGGAAGTCAATGAGCTAAGTAGACCAGATACAGCTGCAATCAAATTGGTATCTATGAGAGAGCCACCCCCTTAAGTAGACCGAAACTGACCATGTTTTTAAGGTGAGTGGAGTTGTGGGCCAGTGGAGTGATGGTGTTGACCGGTATGAGATGCAGAAGTTTCCCCTCCGAGCTGTACTGGCAGCGTATGTAGCAGGAGAAGGCTGCACAGTACGTTGCACAGTGTATACCAGAGGGTTGACGGCTGAGGAGAGGTATCCACCCATACAAACACATTCAGCAGCTCCCCCATCACCCCCGGGTCATAGTTCACAGGGTCGCACACCACCGACAGTACGTTGGTTATGAAGAAGGGACACCACATGACCACGATCAGGAAGAAGGCCACGCCCAGGACCTTGGATGCCTTCTGTTTGTTGCTGATTGACTGCACAGTGCAATGCCTGTACTGAAGGTCCACCCCCGCCGACCCCTCTTCCTACCCCTCCTGTGTCGCGGACACCTGAAGAATAACTTCTCTGAGAGAGAGGCCTGGGGGAAGAAGCCCAGCATCAGGGTGGCGGTCCAATTGGGCAGGGGAACCAGCTGGTCAAGGCAGAGGGTAGCTTCAGTCTGCAGGGCGCTGATGGTGAGGATGTAGGTGACCACCACGATGGTGAGGTGGACGAAGAAGGCCACAAAGGAGCCCAGCACAACAAAACTGCTGTCTGTCAGCAGACAGCTTCCACCTTTGCACACCTTGGTGTGGTCCCGCAGGCCTAGGATGGGGATTAGCGTGGAGATACCTACAGATCAAATCAAATCAAGCTTTATTTATACAGCACATTTCAGATATGGAATGCAACGCAATGTGCTTCACAGGAAAAAAACTAATAAAAAACAATGAAAATAAAAGCTGAAATATTTACTACACAACAAACATACGATAAAAAAACTAAAGAAGGACACAAACTGAACAACTAAAAAGCACCTTAAGGAAAAGCAAAGCAAAAAATATGTGTTTTAAGATCTCTTTTAAATATATCCACAGTTTCCAGAGGCTGGGGGCATAATAACTAAAGGCTGCCTCTCCATGCCTCTTGGTCCTAGGCTTTGGGATAGTTAAAAAGCCAGAGCCAGAGGACCTGAGGGACCTACTGGGTACATAACTTAAAAGTATGTCCGACATTTGTTAGGGTGCACAATCATGGATTGATTAAACCTCTTAAGGATCTGACCCTTTTTTTCAATTTTCGCCCGAAATGACATACCCAAATCTAACTGGCTGTAGCTCAGGACCTGAAGCAAGGATATGCATATTCTTGATACCATTTGAAAGGAAACACTTTGAAGATTGTGCAAATGTAAAATTAATGTAGGAGAATATAACCCATTAGATCTGGTAAAAGATAATACAAACAAGTAAAAATGTGTTTTCTATATATTTTTTGTTGCCTCATCTTTGAACTGCAAGAGAAAGGCCATATATTAAGATAAGATTCTAGGTGTAATTTAGATGTTGTCCAAATGATAGCAGCAGTGTGTGTGCAAAGTTTCAGACTGATTCTTTGAAAATTGAGAAGACAGCACAATATTTTCCATCGAGAATCCAAGGTGTCCCTTACGAGTTTGCCCAAATGTACCCAAGTGGCCGAATTGGTCAATCGATACATTTTCAAGTACATAACTATAGAGAACATACAAAAATGCTATGGTAATAAATAATTTAAGTTTAAACACTCCCAGGAATGTAATTAATGATGGATCATTAGCTTTTCTACATAAGACACTAACCTTCACACATCTAGATGGCCGGGCGGGGAGGGTGTGGAGGTAGAGACAGACTGGAGGGGTCAGACTGGAGGATCCAGGTCCTAAGTTTGAATAGGTGGAGGATGGAGGAGTCTACCACTATTGAGGATAAAAAATGTTTTATCTGTTAGAACTCAGATTTACTATTAGGGGGTGGAGCACTGCATCAATACATCAAATGCACAATACATATCTATAAACATACAGTGGGGAAAAAAGTATTTAGTCAGCCACCAATTGTGCAAGTTCTCCCACTTAAAAAGATGAGAGAGGCCTGTAATTTTCATCATAGGTACACGTCAACTATGACAGACAAATAGAGAATTTTTTTCTCCAGAAAATCACATTGAAGGATTTTTTATGAATTTATTTGCAAATTATGGTGGAAAATAAGTATTTGGTCACCTACAAACAAGCAAGATTTCTGGCTCTCACAGACCTGTAACTTCTTCTTTAAGAGGCTCCTCTGTCCTCCACTCGTTACCTGTATTAATGGCACCTGTTTGAACTTGTTGTCAGTATAAAAGACACCTGTCCACAACCTCAAACAGTCACACTCCAAACTCTACTATGGCCAAGACCAAAGAGCTGTCAAAGGACACCAGAAACAAAATTGTAGACCTGCACCAGGCTGGGAAGACTGAATCTGCAATAGGTATGCAGCTTGGTTTGAAGAAATCAACTGTGGGAGCAATTATTAGGAAATGGAAGACATACAAGACCACTGATAATCTCCCTCGATCTGGGGCTCCACGCAAGATCTCACCCCGTGGGGTCAAAATGATCATAAGAACGGTGAGCAAAAATCCCAGAACCACACGGAGGGACCTAGTGAATGACCTGCAGAGAGCTGGGACCAAAGTAACAAAGCCTACCATCAGTAACACACTACGCTGCCAAGGACTCAAATCCTGCAGTGCCAGACGTGTCCCCCTGCTTAAGCCAGTACATGTCCAGGCCCGTCTGAAGTTTGCTAGAGTGCATTTGGATGATCCAGAAGAGGATTGGGAGAATGTCATATGGTCAGATGAAACCAAAATATAACTTTTTGGTAAAAACTCAACTCGTCGTGTTTGGAGGACAAAGAATGCTGAGTTGCATCCAAAGAACACCATACCTACTGTGAAGCATGGGGGTGGAAACATCATGCTTTGGGGCTGTTTTTCTGCAAAGGGACCAGAACGACTGATCCGTGTAAAGGAAAGAATGAATGGGGCCATGTATCATGAGATTTTGAGTGAAAACCTCCTTCCATCAGCAAGGGCATTGAAGATGAAACGTGGCTGGGTCTTTCAGCATGACAATGATCCCAAACACACCGCCCGGGCAACGAAGGAGTGGCTTTGTAAGAAGCATTTCAAGGTCCTGGAGTGGCCTAGCCAGTCTCCAGATCTCAACCCCATAGAAAATCTTTGGAGGGAGTTGAAAGTCCGTGTTGCCCAGCGACAGCCCCAAAACATCACTGCTCTAGAGGAGATCTGCATGGATGAATGGGCCAAAATACCAGCAACAGTGTGTGAAAACCTTGTGAAGACTTTTGAACATTTGACCTGTGTCATTGCCAACAAAGGGTATATAACAAAGTATTGAGAAACTTTTGTTATTGACCAAATACTTATTTTCCACCATAATTTGCAAATAAATTCATTAAAAATCCTACAATGTGATTTTCTGGAATTTTTTTCTCATTTTGTCTGTCATAGTTGACGTGTACCTATGATGAAAATTACAGGCCTCTCTCATCTTTTTAAGTGGGAGAACTTGCACAATTGGTGGCTGACTAAATCCTTTTTTACCCACTGTATATCGATAACAGTCACTTATTAATCATTACCTCATATCAGCCTCATTCTGAACATCGCATAATCCTTGAATCCGCAAGAACCCTAACCTTACTTATGAGTCAGCAATACACAAATTCGCTTATAATTATTATGTTACTGATGGTAGGCTTTGTTACTTTGGTCCCAGCTCTCTGCAGGTCATTCACTAGGTCCCTCCGTGTGGTTCTGGGATTTTTGCTCACCGTTCTTGTGATCATTTTGACCCCACGGGGTGAGATCTTGCGTGGAGCCCCAGATCGAGGGACATTATCAGTGGTCTTGTATGTCTTCCATTTCCTAATAATTGCTCCCACAGTTGATTTCTTCAAACCAAGCTGCATACCTATTGCAGATTCAGTCTTCCCAGCCTGGTGCAGGTCTACAATTTTGTTTCTGGTGTCCTTTGACAGCTCTTTGGTCTTGGCCATAGTAGAGTTTGGAGTGTGACTGTTTGAGGTTGTGGACAGGTGTCTTTTATACTGACAACAAGTTCAAACAGGTGCCATTAATACAGGTAACGAGTGGAGGACAGAGGAGCCTCTTAAAGAAGAAGTTACAGGTCTGTGAGAGCCAGAAATCTTGCTTGTTTGTAGGTGACCAAATACTTATTTTCCACCATAATTTGCAAATAAATTCATAAAAAATCCTTCAATGTGACTTTCTGGAAAAAAAATTCTCTATTTGTCTGTCATAGTTGACGTGTACCTATGATGAAAATTACAGGCCTCTCTCGTATTTTTAAGTGGGAGAACTTGCACAATTGGTGGCTGACTAAATACTTTTTTTCCCCACTGTATTATATAAAGTATGGGGAACAAACACTATAATTAAGCTTATATAACTTGTATCAGGTAGCTTAGTGGTTAAGAGCGTTGTACCAGTAACTGAAAGGTTGCTGGTTCTAATCCCCAAGCCGACTAGGTGAAAAATCTGTCGATGTGCCCTTGAGCAAGGCACTTAACCGTAATTGCTCCTGTAAGTCGCTCTGGATAAGAGCGTCTGCTAAATGACCAATTTATTATTATTTATATAACCATAGCCGAATGGTTTCAGACTGAGCATTTCTCAAAGGAAAATACTTCTGACATTGAACAGAGCATAGGGTTAGGGTATTTAATTAATTTCAAACTCTCCTATGCCACTATTCCCAACATCTTATACCCCAAAGGTTATAAATAAACCCTGTGGAGCAATAGGCAATAAACTCAAACCACAGCATATCACCACCATAACATACACACAGGCTATACAAATACATTGCATGCCTCAGGTCTATATATTATAGAACAGTACCAGTCAAAAGTTTGGACACACCTACTCATTCAAGGGTTTTTCTTTATTTTTACTATTTTCTACATTGTAGAATAATTGTGAAGACATCTAAACTATAAAATAACAAATATGGAATCATCTAGTAACCAAAGAAGTGTTAAACAAATCAAAATAAATGTTAAATTTGAGATTCTTCAAATAGCCACCCTTTGCCTTGATGACAGCTTTGCACAGTCTTGGCATTCTCTCAACCAGCTTCACCTGGAATGCTTTTCCAACAGTCTTGAAGGAGTTCCCACATATGCTGAGCACTTGTTGGCTGCTTTTCCTTCACTCTGCCATCCGACTCATCCCAAACCATCTCATTTGGGTTGAAGTTGGGGGATTGTGGAGGCCAGGTCATCTGATGCAGCACTCCATCACTCTCCTTCTCGGTAAAGTAGCCCTTACACAGCCTGGTGGTGTGTTGGGTCATTGTCCTGTTAAAAAACAAATGATAGTCCCACTAAGCGCAAACTAGATGGGAGGGCGTATCGCTGCAGAATACTGTGTTAGCCATGCTGGTTCAGTGTGCCTTGAATTCTAAATAAATCACAGAAAGTGTCACCAGCAAAGTATCCCCACACCATAACACCTCCATGCTTAATGGTAGGAACTACACATGCAGAGATCATCCGTTCACCCACACCGCGTCTCACAAAGTCTCCAATTTGGACTCATCAGACTAAAGGACAGATTTCCACCGGTGTAATGTCCATTGCTCGTGTTTCTTGGCCCAAGCAGGTCTCTTCTTATTATTGGTGTTCTTTAGTATTGGTT